GTTCCATTCAGCTTCGCCATGCATGGCAAGCAGTGCCACTGCCACACTCCTTGGGAACGATGTTGCAGCCCGTCTTTCCGAGCTCGAAGCACTGGAGCGGGACGCGAGCACGCCTGCCCATGCGGCAGCGGCGTTGCTTGTGGCTGGGATGAGCATGCAGCAACGTTCAAGCTTGCCGCTTCTGGTTGCTTCGTCACGACCTTTCCCTGGCCCTGATGCCAGCGAGGCTTCTCTCAGTGAATGGCTGCTTGAAGGCACTGCTTCCATGTCGACGTTCTCGCTGATGGATACCGAGGATGGCGTTCGCTTCGAGAAGCAGGCGGCCCTCGAGAAGTGTCTCCCAAGTTCTCACGACACTGCATGTAATATGCGGCCGCTGTGTCTTTCGTCCTTTCTCTGCCGACAGGGGTGGTGAAGCCTTCAACCGAAACGAAGCCCAAAAAACACAGCTTGAGCCCTGAAACCTCCACAGCCTCACTGCCTCACGCCCTCGCGAAGCAGGCCGCAAAGGACATCAACGAAAAGGGCTACCCGGAGAATGCGATCGTTCGGATCAATCAGTTTAGTTCTTCGACTATTGCCACGGAAAGTCTGCTGATTGGCATGGACAACGTCCCACTCATTGGAATCACCATTTCCATCATGGCGGGCTACCTCGTTCTTATGCTTGGCACTGACACGAGACTTCCCGGCAACTCACAGGTGAAGGTTTTGTTGGGAGGGACTTGTATTCCAGGATTGTCCGGTTTGGCAAGCTTCGGCCTTTTAGGCTACTTGGGACACGGAGTGAGCGTCTTGGGCACCATGGTGCCCTTCTTGGGACTCGCTGTGGGCGTTGATATTATTTTCTTGATGGTGTCTTCGGTCAACGCCGTGGGGCCGGACGTGAAGAACATGGAAGAGGTCATGGTGAAAGCCCTCCCCCGCGGGGGCAGAGCAGCAACGACCACGACCTTGACATCGGTCTCCGCCTTCTCCATCGCGGCTGCCACAAGTGCTGATCTTCCCAGCTTCTTCTGGTTCAACATTGGCCTGGTCCTGGTTCTCATCATGAACTGGATAGGCAGGCTAGTGGCCAAAAGCTGAAAGAGGCAACAAAACTAGTCTACTTCTGCCTGTGCAACTTGCCAATACTGCAGCTTCCAATGCCTTGTTTCTGTTGCTAGATGCCAAAGCTGGCCAGACACGCGCTGACCGTGCCCGTTTTTGTTCGTGAAGGAAAGTCATCAACATTGACATCATCAAAGGAACCTGCAACCTCGAAGAGACAGTGCAGTGGATGAGTGTGTTGCTCGTGGTGATGCCGTTCATGATGAAGATGATGCTGGTGATGTTGAAAATCAGGGTGATTTGTGGTGATCTTGCTGACACCCGGCTAGGCATGGTGATCATGTTCCCGGCGATGATCACATTGAGCCAACGCAACATGACCGTCCGTGAGGAGCCGAAGAGTGGCTTTGCTGCAAAGGCTAGATTGGCCATGGGAGGCGGGCGCAAACTTCGGGGTATCATGACTGCCAAGCTTGGCTATGCCGTCCAACGCAGCCTCTCTTTCCAAATCTTTGGAGCATCGACATGGATTGCTCTGACTGTACTTGGCATCTACTTCGGGCTCCAGGTGGAGCGGGGTATGCCGGACACGGATCTAGTGACCGACTCCTCCCGTGTGAACGAATACTTCGCGGACGTCGAAAGCTCCTTCGTCGGGAGTCTTCCCATTGAGCTCGGTCTCGTCTTCGACTCACCGAGGACTCTTGATGCATCATACCGGAGTCGCATGTCGGAGTTGATCGCAGCACTGAACAACAGGTCGGACCTGGCACTGCCCGTCGATTGTTGGCTCCAGCGAGCAATCGGCTCCTTGAGCAGTTCCGCCTCCATGTGCGAGGTGGACACCGCCATACTAACATACCTGAACAGCTCAGGTGTCAGTGGCCGGGATGCCAAGGGTGGTGTCACAGAGCATTTGCGAGCAGCGCGGTGTCGGGCCTTTCTGTGGCAGCCGATGGACGCGGACAAGCGCAGTCAGCAAGCATCGGACATAGTCAGCCAAGTAAAGGACGGGTTTCCGGAGCTGGAGGTCATCCCATATCATTTGAGCTTCCCGACGCAGACAGCTCGCTACCGGATCATCAAGGACAAGACTTTCAGCACGGCCGGTTTTGCCTTCATTGGGGTGTTGCTCGCAGTGGTGATCACCATGCCTGTTCACCTAGCCATCCTGGCACTAGCTAACGTGTGTGCTGTCACGTGTGTGCTGTTCGGATTTATGTGGTTTTGCAGTATCACCAGCAACCTCATTTCATTTACAGTTTGTGTCATGACGATCGGATTTTGCGTCGACTACAGCTGCCACGTTGTGCACTTTGCCGACCACGGTGTGTCGCCAGGGACACCTTGGGACCAACGTATGCGGCTCTCACTAGAGTCCTGCAGCTTTGACGTACTCCAGGGATGTTTGACAGCCTTCCTTGGTGTGGCCATGCTCGGATTTGGCTCTGCACAAGCCTTTCGGACCTTTGCTCTCCTCTCGGTTATCATAACGCTCGTCGGTGGGTTCTTTGCGCTCATTGGCTTGCCGTGCTTGCTGGCGCTCCTGTCTAGGGCATGGCATACCTGCACTGGTCAGGGAGCACCCGAGGAATTCCTGAGTGACGCCGTGTTGCCAGCCGTGCCCGCGAAGGGGGGGACAGAGCCAGGTAAGTTGGTGGAGACCCGTAATTTTTTGCTTTCCGTGGATCGCGTTTCACTGTAGAGCCCTGGCGCGCCGCCAAGTGGAGACAGCCGTTGTCTCAGCAGCAGCTGCAGCGGCAGCAGCTTCCCCCGTACAGATACACGGTCTATGTACATCAGTGTGCAAATGTGCCTGCAGGCATGCAGCCCACATAATCAGGAAGGGGTGGGTAGACAGATACAGTCTGTAGTAACTTCATGATTGCATGCCTGACAGTTGTGTCGCCGGGTGTTGTCAGAGTGTGACTGGTGAAACCATGAAGCACACCAACGGCCACAAATGTGCGCCTGCCGCGGCAACCTGGAAGAATTGCCAGAAAAGCTTGAGGACGAAGATCCCGGGGTGAAATCTATACTGGTATCATTTACTTTGTTTTTCCTGGGTTAGGATCTCTGCTGTAAGTAGCCCTGATGGAGAAGGTTCCAGTCAACAGTCATAAGAAAGACTGGCGAAGTTAAAGAGCCCGTATCCCGATTTGGCATGCCAGTAGGTTGCGGTTTGTGTCGTGACGATACCACATGTGTTACTCAATTTTGAAGTTTTTGCGCTCATGCTCCGGCAGTGTTCACTGCCTCAGCTTCAGCCCGCCTAGTGTATTCTAAACCCCCTGCTACTACGATGCGTGCAATCTTCACGAAGGGTTGGCAAAGTATGCTCTACAAGTACAACAGGCCAGTTGCAACACGCGTAGCACGATTCCTGCATTCCTGTGTCGCGACATAGGAGTTTGATCCGCCTCGAAAGTGCACATGCTCCAAGTCTAAAGCATGGTAGTTTGTTGAGCATCGCTGAGTTCTTGAGTTTACACGTCTGGCAAGAGTCGCTAGGTTGCCAGGTGTGATCCGTTGAGCAAACGCTTCTTTCTGCTAAAGCGGCAAAAAGAAGCACCTCTCTTCAGCGCGTTAGTCTGCTTTAGCCTGTGCTCCTCGCATCGGTTTTTCCAAGTCGCGTGGAGTCCCACTGGGACGAGAGCGCAGCCCTGCGATGGCGAGGGCACATCGCTGCGGCCTGAGGCAAAGAACTACAAAGGAATTAGCAAGTCAGAAATCTTCCGAGAAATGAACAGGAAGGGCTAAATCAGGCGCCCATCACCTCGTTGCAAGTGGCACTGCCTCGAGATCCCGCAGAACACTTCGGGGCGAAGATCGGACAATCGTTTCACGCCGCGGATGTTCCAGAAAATGGAAGCACGAGGTGCAGTCACAATACACACTCCAGCGAGAGTATTGCGGAGACGTTCTTGCTGTGATTTGGCAGCTGACCGCTTCGGCGGGCTGTTGGGGCGGTGGGTCTGTGGGGGCGGTGGCTAGGCACGGCATTCAAGGCACAAGACCTGTAATCGCGCCTAGGTGTCTCACGCTCTCTGCCTTCACAACAACTCTGGATGCTCAGGGCTTCTCACTGGCATCATCGCAGACATGTGCACCAAGGGCTCGGAGGGTCGTCCGCGTGCCACTAGGCATGTTTTTACTCACGAATGTGCCGCTGCACTCATCAGGTGCCGCGTGCTGTGGCGAAGCCGGCTTTTGGACGGTGAAACGCGCTTGCCACGAGCATCTGCATTGAACCTTCTGAGATCATCCTTGCCAGGAACTCAAAAAAGACGGGCAAGACACGCTTCCGCACCGGCTCCATCCGCAAACCTCGGAATCGGCATGAATCAGGCCCATCAAAGAGCTTCTGGTCAAGCGGGGCTCACAGAGGACCTTGGGACAGAGCAGGGTGTCGGCCAACAGCCAACCCCAGCTTCTCGCACGAGGCTCGGACAGGCAGGCCTCGGCGTTCATAAGACCACTTCGGCCAAACAAGGTGTCTCCGTACGGTCTGAGTCAGGCAGGAGCACCAGCGACAGGATGCGCGAGCGGCTCCGTAGGATTCCGTAGGCTCCGTGTAGTAATGATTGACAATCATTAATACGTATGAGTAGGAGCAGTAGGAACAGTAGCATTTCGCCCCCCGACATGGATGAGCTTGGGAGCGACGACTTGCTTAGAGCTTGAACTCCGTTTGAACCTCTCAGGGTTTAGGATTTCGGGTTTGGACCGCTGAACGATGCAATGTTCTTTCGGTGGTATCCCGAAAGAGATGACTTTTCGAACCAAGTCGAGGGTTTGGACCGTTCGCCTTGGAGATTGCACACATAGCCTTGCATAGCTTTGCGTAGCCTTGCGTAGCTTTGCGTAGCATTGATTCGTGGAGCGAATCGAGCCTGCCCAGGGGCCCAGCAACGTTTGCTCAAGCGTAGACAGGGGTCCAATACTCTGCCATGAAGAGAAATGCCCTATGGACGTTTGGCCTCGCACTTCTGATGATTCTTTGTGCTTGGCAAACATCATGTTTGTTCACTGTACCTCGGTTGACACAAAGTGCAGCAAGGCAGGCGCAGAGTGAGGCAGTCAGCACGGCAGCGACAAAAACGCTCGATCAGCAGGGTTTCGGCTCTTTTTTCGAGCAGCAAATCATCGCTTGCTTCCCGGTGGGTACCATGTGTGTGCAAAGCTTGACACTGAACCAGGACGCAAATCAGCACATGTCGCAAGCATTCACGATCCTGCAAAATGGCGTCGGCCTCTCCAAGCCCGAGAAGTGGGGCACCTTGCAGCAGCGGGAGATCAAACCAGATGTGCTGGCATTCCATGATAACCCCAGCCTCGGAAAAGCTCTGGCATCGCACTTCGCCGACTCTCAAGGCAACGTACGAGACATCGAGTTCATGCGTCTTCCAGACGCTTGCTCACTGGTTGCATGTGAAGTTACTGTTCAACCAGATCTCTGTTGGAATAAGCTTTTCCAAGCTGAGAAAATTCTGGCTGCAGTTCAGTATGGCGTCGACGACAACGTCGCACTTCCAACAGTCAATGACACCTTCATGATGATCAGCATCAATGGAGACCTTGAAGGTTTCACAAGCATTGCACCAGCGTTTGCAAGGTTTTTGGCAAACCAGGACTCCTAAGGTTTGTTGCCACGGGAACTGTGGGGTCAAGGCGGACTAGCATTTGTCTTCGTTCCCTTCAAGAACACTTACACAGTTTTGTCAGGTGTGGAGACCAAACTGTCAGGTGTGGAGGCCAAACTGGCAGATGTGGTGCGGGGACTTCAACTCCTGATGTTGATGACGCTCGTGGTTGTCGCTCTTCTAGCTGCAAGGATCTTGCCTTGAATGTCCAACTTCCACGCTGGACGGCGCATACACAAAAAACAGTTGTAGCAAGGCACTCAACCAGAGCTCCAACAAGCAGAGGGTATGCCTATAATATGCCAATGGAATTCTTGTGCAGCTCAAGCGGATGTTCACTTCAGTTTTAAGTGCTTTTGGTTGAGGCCATTTGATTGAGAAGCTAACGCTAGCTGTTTCAAACCCCATGAGGGCACAGCTGAGGTCTTGCCAGAATCCGTACGAAATCCACCCGGGCTGACCGTGTCTGCAGCGAAGCCGGCGGAGCTTGCAGAACAGAATGGCAGGGCAACTGCGTCAAATTTGGGGCCCGGAAAGTGCGCAATGACGTGCGAATGGAGAGGCTGGTTCACAGTGCCATCTTCCTGGGCAGTTTGCTCGTGGGACTTATGTTCCCGGCCCACTGATAGTGCTCATTTCTCTTGATACCGTGCTGATACGCCTTCATCTTGAACAGTTGGAACTTGGGAGCACGGGGCGCCAGCCAGCAGTTCCAGGCCGGAGTCCATGCTCGTGACGAGCCGCAGAATCTGGCAGCCTTGGCTTTGGAGACGCGCAAGACGTCGAGAAGCAGAATTGAGCAATGGTAGTGTCTGTGATATGGACCACGCATGCGCGGAGGCAGCGAAAAGCTGGGCCACCGTGTGCGGCTTTTGTTTAACTTGGGCCGGAACCACAACCCGGAGCTTGCAGCCTGCAAGCCTGAGTGGAACATACCTCAGCTATCAACCTTCCTGCTTGCATACCTAAACCTATGCCTATGCGTCCTTCAATCGTCCCCTGACCTCTGGCTGCTCGTTCTCAGTAGTAGACCTTGTGTTCTACACCCCGGCGTTCATCTGACAAGTGATCCGTGCTGCTCAATCAAGACCTATGGGTTCACTTCGCTGGAACTCACCATGCACAAAGTGTCATTGCAAAGCTAGGAATCTGCAGAATCCCAGCAAAGCTCAAGCCCAGCTGACGCTTTTCCGTTTTCTCGGTGCTGGGATTGCGCTATGTCACCTGGCATTCAATCTGGGAAGTTTGTTTTTCGGAGCCATGCTGTCGAGAATTTCGGACCTGTCCGGGCAGGCCAGGAGTCGCTCTGGCACTCTTTTCTCGGAGCCCCCTAGCAGCAGTCAAGGTGCATCTCATGCCTCGCGAGCCGCCTTCTGCCAAGCGACTCTGACAATCGCCTCTCGGATGCAGAAAGGATTCAAGAGTGCCACAGTACTTGAGGACACGACCTGTATTCAGGACAACACTGGACGGCTTGTTCGCGGTGACCTTGTACCTCCAGAAGATGCCGAGGCATTGGAGGGTTGTCTTTTCTTCCTGCGCTTCTGTGACCCGAGCTCAGCAGCCCAGTGCCATGAGCAGGTGCAGCCTGCGACGTAAACCTCTCAGAGAAGGCTAGCCGGTCTGATGCAACCAGTGCGCTGCCCAGAACGCATTTTTACAGCTGTGGCTTGAGCTTGCCACGCTCCATCATCCTTCTTCGCAGCTTTTCCCTGCAGGTTTGCATCTCCCCTCAGCCTCAGCGGATCAGTGGAAATCTCAGAGCCCGCGCATGTCTGCTTGGCCAGCATGCGTCTCGCCTGCCTTTCATGTCCTATGCATGTGGCAAGCCTCCAAGCTGCACTGAAATGCTTCAGATCCTATCTAGATGCGGAAGATCCCACCTCAGAAAGGCCAGGGTGAGTGCTGGTGATTCTCTGCAGATGCCGACCTGTGACATCCATTCGAGTCTGCTGCCTTCTTTGATGTAGGCTTGAGCTGAAGCGCATGTAGAGTTGCGGAACACGTGGTGCGTGCCGCTGCCATTTGTCCCTCAACCACAGGCAGATTGCTTCGAACTTGTCAGCATGCTCTTACAAAGGTCGCCAGCCAGTGTTGTGTTCTGCTTGGGTTTTCGAGGTGCCAGAAAGTTCTGTCAGACACTATCAGATTCATCAAGAAAGGGGGTTTCTTCCTCCCCATGATGCCATGCCCTGGTTTCGGGAGCCCCAAGTGATCCTGTCCAGATTGGTGGGCCTCAGCACTACCCTCTCCGCCCTGTGGTTCTGCCGCAAAGTGGGCTGCTGGGCGAAATCGCTCGGCCGCCTAGGAGCACTGATTCTGCGCTTCGTGCGGCGGGGGCGCCTCTCCCGGCGTCCGCCCGATTATGGGCACCTGCTGATGATCCCGCTCTACCCAGGTGTCAGAGAGTTGTCCTAGAAGGTGTTGGCATGTTTGATGTGATGCTGTGCTTGCAGAAGCCATAAGCGTTATAGCTGCGAGTCATAGCTGCGAGCTGTGCACATGCTTGTGTAAGCTTCACTGCTGCAGGAAACCCTCCGTCGCTTCAAGCAGCCAGTGAGTCAGAAAGTTTGGCAGAGAAAGCTCGCTCCGCCAGCCCGGATGAAGCTCTCGCTCTCCTCGGTGAAGCCGTGTTGCTGAATCCTCCGGATGCAAGCTTGCATTTGGCACGGGCGCAGGCCCAGAACGAGTGTAGAAGGCATATTGAAGCTTTGGACGATGCAGAGCTTTGCGTCTCTTTGGACAGCAAGTGCCTTGAGGGCTGGCTTTGCAAAGGCAAGGCTGAACTCGCCTTGGGCCGAGCAGCGGATGCAGCCACGAGCTTTCAGGCTGGTTTGGCCCTTGAGCCAAATCACCCGGAGCTTTTGAGGCAACTCTCAGCAGTGGCACCGGCACCGAATATTTTACAGCAATTCAAAGAGTTAGTCTTTGCAGCTAGGCTTGGCCTTGAAAACTTGTTTCAGACTCTGGAGGACCCTCAGAGGACCACAGATGCTTTCGTTGATAGCAATGCAGAGGTGCTGGATGCACAGATCTCATTGTTGGCACAGACTCTTCACGTGAACACCTCAGTGCTCTTCGACTCCCCGCGGCTCTGCGATGCTTACGAGCAGATTGTGCACGCTTGCGCACAGCTGGTGTCTGGCGCCCCGAAATCCTTTTCGAGAAAGCTGCAGAATGCCAAGAATATTGTGGAGGGACTCAGTCTGGCTGTAAGAATCGGCTGGCAGATCCACCATGGTCTTGCCAAGCACGCCGCCAGCGCCCTGATCATCCTTGCCACATGTCCTGAGGCGGAGGAGGGACTTCGAAGAATGGCCGTTCGACAGCTCTTGGGAGGACTTCTGCGCTGGCTGGTGGATGCAAGGCCAGAGCCTGAGCGGGAGGTGGAGGAGGTCTGCGGATGCAGCTGCGCTGTCCCCTGGAAGGCTGCTGCCTGCTACTTAGAACGACTCTTTGAGATTGGGACCGGGAGGCCCATGTCCCTGATCCAGTTTGAGTGTGAGCATTGGCCTGACACAGTTCAGCTGTGCCAGTGGCTCACCTTGTCTGTTCGAGACTATCATGCCACCCCGCTGGGCCTCGTCGCTCTGCTTCAGATGCCCGGAGTGGCGGCGAAAGCGATGAAGACCCAGGCGAGGGTGGACTTCTTCATCGCGCCCCATCTCTTCGCTGAGGAGTTCGGTGCTGCGGGAAGCGAGGGCGAGGAGTTCTTCGAGGAAGCCGAGGATGAGCCCATGACGATGGCCATGGAATCGGAGGAAACCTGGGAGCTCCCCGCAAGCCGGGCAAACAACGTCCCCTGGTGGAGAGCGGCGCAGATGAGCCGACAACCCCTGAGAGCCTGGCGACAGCAAATGCGGTTTGCGGCGGCTGCCGTGGCAGCTACAGCAGCTACAAGCACAAGCGAGAACCGCGAGAACCAGAACGAGCAGAACCAGAACCAAGATCCCTCCTTGTTTTTTCCATCAGAGGCGTCTTCGGCTTCAACTTCCTTCAGCCGGGGTCCAGGTGCTGAGATCTCGAGGATTCTGGGGAGCGATCCAAATCTTGCCAGTATCCTGAATGCCGCCTCCTCCGCCGGTATTCCGACTTTGTTCCGCTGGATCCCCGATCCACCGCCACCTCCGCCCCAAAGACTCGGAGAGTGGCTCATGAATTCATTGGGTTATTTATTCCTTTTTATTGAAGGTGATGCCCTATTCACGGTCTATGCCTGCCGGGCTCTCAAGACGCTGGCAAAGGCTGATCCAGATGGTGACGGGCAAACAAGACTTCTAAATGGCATGTGGCTGGGCGTTCCTTTGCTCAGCAAGCTGTCTCTTGCAGCTTGCACGAACACGGCAGCGCTTGATTTGCTGCACTGCCTATTCGAAGCCAAGTGCCCCGTGGCAAGAGGCGGTATTCGATGTGCCACACTGTCTTTAGCACATGCTTTGGCCAGCGATGCTCTGCCCAACGAGCATGAGGATGACATCCACATGGCCTCTTCAACCAGCGCTTCGTCGCAGGACATGCAAGACATGTCAGAAGAGGCTGAGGTTTTTTCTGGTCTCCAGGGAACAGACGGCGCTGCCCAGGCAGCTCCGGCACCAGAGATGCTGGGCGAGGGTGGTTTTGCCCAGAACCTTCTTGCAGGCCACGAAGATGATCTGGTACCATCCTGGGCAGAGTTTCACCACGAGCTTTTTCAGGAGCTGGCCCCCTGGCACCGTAGCAGAATGCTTCTTGTGGACGTTGTGGAAACGTTGTTGTCTTGTTGTTTTCTTCGCTGAGGCTTGCCCCACAGACAGGGACCGTGCGACGGAGCTCGTGACCCTCGCGAATTTTGAATCGAAGGCCAGCCTCCTGGCGGAGCAGGCAACGGTCCATTCGCTTGAGCCCCAGACAGAGGAGGGAAGAAGCTATAGCTTTGCAGCTGTTCCAGCAGCATGGAACCGAAATGTCCTGGCAGAGATGGATCCAAAGCAGGGAAGTCAGGCCTCGGACGAAGTCCACGGCTCACCACCAGGATGGCAGACAGTTTCTTCCCAGAGACTGCTCCTTTTCCATGAGCTAGATGGCTTCCCGGTGGGCTCTGCTGAATACCTTCGCGATGGCCGGATGAAAGGCAAGGTCGTGCTCATGTCCAGGAGATCGATCCGTTCCAGTGAGAAGGTTCACAATTGGGCGCAGGCCGTATCCTCCGCTGAGCAGGCAGGTGCTTCTGCAGTCATCGTCTTCAACGACCTTGATGCCATGGAGCCCTTCCGGATGGGACTCTTCGGGGAAAAGCTGCCTTCCATTCCCGCCTTCATGATCAGTGGGAAGGACGGAGCGAGCCTGGGCTCACGGTCCCGGGACTCGGAGGTGATCATCGTCAGGCAACGGTTGAAAAAAACTCTGCGGATTCTGAGGTGAGCATCCCTTAGTGTGCATCCCTTAGCTCCCTTACTGTGGCCTCTTGTGCCCTTTCTGCCCTCCCTGTGTGGCCCTGAGAGGTCGGTCTTGAGCTCTGCCAGCTCAGCCTCGCCCCCGTTGCCCCGCTCCTCGCCAGCGCCTGCGCCGCCCTCTCCCCCGCCTCCCCCTCCGTGGCCACTCGCAGGCGGACGCATCGCGGACATCGCCCAGGCGCGCGGTGGAAGGGAAGAGTGAAGCGCGGCAGAGCTCCATGTGCACGTGTGCTCTGCGTGCGCTTGAGGCTTGGAGTCTCTTGGAAGCCCTCTCTGCACATGGCGAGCCTACCGACGATCTGGAGAAGCTGCTTCAGCGAATGAGCGTGCCGGAGAAGCGTGTGTGGCTCACGCGCCGGCTGGCAACTTGGCGGCAGTACCACAGGTTAGGAAAGCAGATCGAAGGATCCACGCCGAAGGCGCTTGCGAGTCTCTCTGGGACCGCGGATGGCCACTGCGTCAGAATATCAGGTCGCAAGAACGAATGATGGCCGGCCCCACGCAATGCCAAGATCTGCCCTTTCAGCAAAGCGAGAGTGCCTAGCCCGGGCCTGCCTATCCAACACCGCTGGGAAGCCTTTTGACCCTGTATGAATGAACGAACCCATGCTCGGATAAGGTACGTCATCATCGTGCCCAGCAGGCCACTACGACAGACGCAGACCTCGCAGAGACACCGCTGGCCGGGACCTCAGAGAGCCAGGCAAGTCACGTCTCCGCTTCTGTTTGCAAAAGACGGTTCAGATTGAACATGGAGGCCTTCGTTGAGAGTGACCGATGGCTAGCACCAGAGAAGCAACTCGCAGCTCTCCGGCACCAGGCACGGAAGGGGCGAAGGGGCGGCTTATGGCTAGTCTTTGCTCTTCTTTAGTTTTGGTTCTCATCTTAACCTTCTCCAGGTGATGGAGAAGACCGGGCTTGGGAGCGTGGACATCTGCGGTGAGTTCGAAGTGCGCTTCCGTGGTGAACAGGGGGTGGGAAGTGCTGTGGTCCGGGAGTGGATGGACCTGGTGGCCAGAGACGTCTATTTGGTGCCCAAGTTGAGGTTGCTGCGGAGCTATGACCAACGGCAGACATTTTGGCCAGATGCTGCCGCCCCATTTGTGAACAAGGCTTGGCAGATGGACTTCGAGATCCTCGGGTCTTTGATCGGTCTTGCGCTATGGCAGAACTGCACACTTGACCTCCCGCTTCATCCGCACGTCTGCGCCTTGCTCTTTGGATTTCCAGAAGACCGGCTAACAGCTACGCTGGCCGACATGGATGCGGAGCTCTTCCGTCACAAAGTGCAATGGCTTCTTGCCAACCCCATCAACCAGCTCGGCATTGAACTCGGCTTTTCAGACCCTCTCGGGACGGAGGAAGCAGAGGGCGAGGGCGAGGAGGGACAGGAGGGACAGGGAGACAAGGCGAAGGCAGCAGAACCGGAACCGCCTGCAGACTATGGACCAACGCTGCCAGCTCTGGTCTTTCCAGGGCAGCGCTTGGCTGGTGACGATCGGAGCTGCGAGGTAGAGCCATGGCCACTTCCCAAAGTCGGAGCGGCTGAAGTAGCGCTGCAAGATGCTGTGGATTCTGTGGATGTGGTGACGGATGAAAACAAAGAGACCTTCGTGGAATTGCTCAAAGACTGGAGGTTGCAGAAGGGCATCGCACCACAAGTTCAAGCGATGGCCAAGGGTCTCTCCAAGGTTCTTCCTGTAGAGCTTCGACAGGAGATGCACAACTTGTTGACCCCAGTTGAAATCGCACAACTACTTTCAGGGTTGGGAGGCACTCTCTCCGTCGACGACTGGGAGCAACACACTTCTTACACCCACGGTCTGAGCAAGCACAGCGATGTTGTCATGTGGTTCTGGCGGGTCGTGAGAGGCTGGGCGGCCTCAGAAGAGGACCAGGAGCTGCTGGTTCAGCTCCTTCAATTTGTGACGGGCAGCGCGAGGGTGCCTGTGGGGGGCTTCAGCGAACTGGTGGGCTTCAATGGCGCCAAGCACAACTTCACCCTGGCTGGAGCCCAGAACCATTTATCCAAGCAGGCCCTGCCCGTGGCTCACACCTGCATCTGCACCCTGGACCTGCCCCTATACGACGACTTCGAAACCTGCCGTCGGAAGATGACGCAGATGCTGCGTTTGGGAAGAAGTCACTTCGATGAAGGAGCTGGCCAGCCAGAAGGGGCGGACGCGGAGTGAGCGGAGTGAAAGTGAGCTCTTTGGGGCTTTTTCCGAGACAAAATGCAAGCGTCTCTTGTCTCAAAGGCTCGGCCACGGCCAAGCTCTTTCTGTACTCATGATCTTAGGTCACATGTAATACGCACCAGCATGCATGGCTCTGCAGTCAGGAGTACACAGCGCCATCCCACGGATAGCAAAGTAAAGCTGGGTTTGGTAACATGCAGCATGTGGATCTAGCAGCACCAGGATCACAGCAGGAGAAGCATGACACAGGTAGGCTGGCACGGATCTTCTCACCATTTCGATTGCGTGGGCAGAGACAGTTCCTAGCTTCGGTCTGCGAACCTTCATCCATCTTCATCCTCCGAGTGCCCATCCATCGGATATTTGAAGCTCTATGCACATCGGAGCCTCAAAGTGAAGCGAGAAGACCACGCACGGAATTCTCTAACATTCTGCGGCTGCTTCGAGGCTCCCAAAGTCAGCATGTCTTGCTGATCACCGGCACTTCACGAGGAAAAACAGCCGAGAGCAACGGTGCAAAGCTTCACTCGCCTGCGCAATCCTGCGCACATGATCATTCAGAGGTTAGCTTGCATTGCCCCTTCCAGAACTGCCGTTTTGCAGGCTCCCAGAATGGTGGAATGGAGAAATTGTGAGCGGGCTTCGCGCTTCAAACACCCTCCGAGATGACTTTGCCGTGACATATGTCGATACACGGATGCCTGCAAACTTGAGGCTTCCTCAGCTTGAGGAGGCTCCGCTGAGCGATGACGGAGGTGAGGAGCAGTCTCTTTGCTCTTGCTACTCCTTATGCAAGCTTTCAATCGCAAGGTCAGCCTTGAAAGTTTGCCGCTTTCAAGCTGTTTGGCTTGAACGTTTCTGGTTCGGATCCGATCGCGCTCTCATGCTCCCCCGCTCACCCCCACCCGTCACAGTGAGCAGGAGTGGGGGGTGTGAGGCAATTTCGCAATCCGTGGCACCAGTTGGCACTCGCTTCGGCTTTCGCTCCTCCGGTACAGAATTTTAAGACTATGCTCTGAACGTTTGTCATGTCTTTCCAAGGTTTCGCCTTTTCTTTGTAGTTGTTCTTCTACCCCAGTGCTTTTTGCAAAAGCAATTTGCAAACGTTTCCGCAGCTTTTCTCCTCATGAGGTCCTTGTTCTTTTGCTTCAGGTTAATGATGGTTTCCGTGATTGATTGCAGCCAGGTGCGGCTTCTCGCAGTTCTCCTCACAAGTTTTCTGCTTCTTATTTCGAATACACCTGTCTCGGGGGGGGACTTCCGCGAGCGCGTGATCCAGGGATCCAGTCACATGGAAAATATCGCCCGCAGATCTTGCATGAAAAATGAAGCCCCAGACCCAGTTCTCCAATCAATTTGTCAGGCTCGCTCGTCAATAGACAAGATTCCGTCTCGAGACGTTTGGAAGGACTGTATTCTGAGTCAGCGTGCTAACGAGCTGCCGCTTGAGCCCTTTTTCCTGGAGCTTCATCTGGGAGCACCCGAAACCCCTGATCCGGAAAGGTCGTACACACTGCCTCAGGGCCTAAACTATTCCGGAACAACCTGAAAGTGTAGATATGCATCAAAAAAGAAGGGCTACTGGCAGTATATGGTTTTGCTTGATGGATCGATCTAGGCCCACTGCATGACGGATTTCCGGAAAGCCTGGACATCGTAGCAGTCGTAGCAGGACGAGGTGATCCTTGTCTTGGATTCCCGAAGAGGGCCCGATGATTGTTTCAGACAGATTCGAAAAGCAGGTCGGAGAGGTCGGCGGGCCCGGTGAGCGGGCCAAGACGTCGTGGGAAGCCTCGCAGCATCCGCCTGAGCTTGGCTTGAGACCTGTGACGTATGTCAAGCTTATTTGAGCTTTCAGTCGCTGCAAAGCACATTTCCAAGGATGGGCCCCCAGCTGCAAGCGTTGTGTGTCCGCTGTAGCAGCGTAGCATTCACTCTGGGCCTACACGTAGTCAACGTAGTCAGGCCTTCAGTGCTGCCGAACTTCTCACCTCATGACCCTGTAAGAGTGCCTTCACTGCTGCGGCATAGGCGCAAAACGGGTGCGGCTCGGGCTGGAGTAACCAGAACCAGAGATTGGTGAAGCAAGTCCGTGAGGTTGGCGGCCCTGCATTCCTGTCCTTCAAGCCATGACGAGATTAGGTTTCAGAGTTTCTTGGGCGTGAGCCCAACCGTTCCAATGAAGTCTTTCTGGCTTGCCTCCCTGGCCGTCTGGTCCCTAACTCAGATTGACGGTCACGTTTCCTTGGCGCGCCGCAGTGTGATTCTGAGTGCTGAGAACTGACAGGGTGCTTAATCCGGCGGTCGCAAAGAAATTTGGGAAAGAGGCGTGGTTCCCATGATGGGGTCTGCTTAGCACGCGCTTTTAAGTATTTCCTGGCCAGGATTCGACAGACTTGCAGCTGGCACTCCTGGAGCGTGCAGAGAGCACTCGGAGCTTAGATGCGCGGGCTTCCTCGAATTTCTCGGAGGAGGCTTTGGATGCCGTGGTCTCGGCGAAAGCCTTGGAAGTTGTCGGCGACGCCTTCAGCGATGCAGGCAATGCTTTGGGTGGCGTGGTCGAGACGGCTGGCAATGCTATTGCCACAGCCGCTGTTCAGACCGTGAATACCCTTGCGGAAGCAGGCATGACGCTTGGCAGCGCGGTGGCCAATGCGGCCGTTGTGGTCGGGAAACATATTGTCAAAGCGGCAGAAACCCAACTTGCAGCCCTTCCAGATGCCATCAAGGATGTGGCCGAGGATATTGGGAAAGCAGCGGTGCAGGTTGGAAGCGTGGTGGCGGATGTGGGGGAGCTTGCTGCGGATGCCAGTCTTCACTTAGCAGGGGACATCCTTCAAAGGGCCCAGAGTTCCATCCAACAAGGCGTGAAGCGGGCTTTCGAAGCACTCCAGTTGCTCAACTTGAGCTTAGGGAAAACTACTGATTTTGCTGCAAGTTAAGCACAGCGGATCCCACCCACCTGGACAGGAGTGAAGCTGGCCGAGAAAGTGGGGAAGTTCATTGCAGATAAAGCAATAGCTTTGGGGGGCGAAGTTGCCAAGTTGGGCCCTTTGGTTGCAGGATTGGCAGAAGCTGCTTGGAACGAGATCAAGGGCTTCTTGAGCTGCTTCACTGAGTCCTTGACCTTGTGCCATGTTCTCCTTGGTGGCCAGTGCGATTGCAACGCTGGTTCCCACGTTACTCCCTCCGCCTCCGGGTTCTCCATGAGATGTGTCTTTGATTCATCCTCAGACTTTGCCTCGGGCTTCGGGATCCGGGCCGTGCCTGCCCAGAAATTTCCCGGAAGAACTGCCAAGGGCACTGTGATTTTACCAGGAGACGAGTACGTGCAGGCCTACAAGATGGCAGGGCAAATCATGAGGTCCCGCCAAGCCCTGAAGGAAAGGAAGGCCAAAGCGCCCATAGGCTCCTGTGAAAGTGCCCTAGACCTGGCCTTTGAGGGTGCGGCCCAGTTCGCACCGGACATCTCCATCAGCATGAGCTTCGATGGCGACACGGAGATTAGCATCAAGGGCCTCATCCGTGCCTCCATCGATGCCTTGGTCTCTGCACAGGCCTCTTGGCAACACTGGATGTGGTGTGTGTTTCTTCAAGCCAGTCACATACGTAGATCGCCCTGCACAGACGCGTAGACGCTCTGTGCAGGGCTCTTGCGCCTTCCACGCCGAGAAGGGGATTCCCAGACTTCCCAAGAGCAAGGCCCCTGCAATGCTCCAAACTTTCCTTCTGTCTTGGGAGCTGTCTGCAGGTGATCTGCGGGGCCTACTTCTGCTTGGCCATCATGCTCCAAGGCCGGGCGGCCGGGAGCATGCTTTCTGCGGTTCTGCTCGTTCTGTCTCTTCGTTGCTCCTCCTTGTAACAGCCGATCTGTTGTTCTATCCTGCGAGACGACAGCAGAACAGCAAGAAATACGTGCGAAGTGCTGATGCGCGCTATGGCCCACCGAACTGCAAACTCCTATAGGTGCAAGACATTTGCGGGGGCATGCTGCAGGCGACAGCCGCACACGTGGCAAGAGCAGCCAAAAACAGGCAAGCGTGCTGCTAAAAGGCCCCGTTATCAGTACTTACATGCAGCGCGCACACTGTGTCTCCATGTGATGCTGATGCCATCCCCAACATTCCTGTCCACCATTCGCGGCTCGTGGTTGGAGAGTCCTTGAAGCACATTTTCGCGCATGATTAGATTTGCAAGAGTCCCTTTCATCACATGTCGCTGGGGTCGCGCACACTCGTGCACGAGATTGCAAATTTTGGGCCCCTATCCAAGCTCCAGTCTCCGCAGATCGGCAACCTTCACCCCGGACGAATTCGAAGTACTGTATACGTATCATATTTGCGTCATTTCGCGTCGGACTCTGCGCGCTTTCGACTCTCCACTCGAGAACTATCAGATCAGCTTGCGCTGTCGTTTTCTTGGAATCACGATCCTCAAACTGGATTGCGCATGCACGATATGCACGTGCACGGCCACCCTGGATGGAGATTGTCTACCCAAGCACAGAAGCAATAAGGAGAGAAGGATGCATGGAAAATCCAACAAGAACCAACACTTACACGTACAGCAGCAAACCCTTACCAGCTCACGCACCTCGCACAAGAAGTGCCACAGGACGTCGCACAGTCCCAACACCCGCCTTGCTGCGGCAAGAGATGATAGAAGGAAAAATCACCGGAAGCTCGTGTGATTGCCAGGCTTCTGGATTGAGTGTTTGTCCTAACGCTGTTAAGAAAGCAGTAAGTTCTTTGTCAATTTCTCATCTCGTTTCATCTAAGCCGAATCGAGGACGGTGATGTTCACATGCCCAAATGTAAATCAAGTCAAAACTAGTTCCTACGACACTTGCACGAGGATAGCTTCACAGTCAAGAGACGTCACAAGCCCTCGGCTTTTTCGTCCGCCGGCGGCGCCAGACTCAAGTTGGAATCAGCGGTCCCTGCTCTCGCGCCGCGTCTCCAAGAGACAATCTCGTCAAAAAGCACGAACACCAATCCTGCGCTGTTGCCATGGCCTCGCGTGGCACGTAGATGCGATGCGATGGAACTCAAGGCTGATTCAGGAATGCTTTGGGCGTGCGGATCAAAGAGGAACAGGAAGTGATGCTGCAAGAGAAACCATGTCAGACATGCTCTGTAAGCGCAGCGCCATACTGTCAGTCGTCGCGGAGCTGGACATCAAAGGCGTGCTCACGGGCACGCTCGAGATCTCGGCTGATGTGGACTTTGAGATTGAGGGTACTGTGACGGTCAATCCTTTGGGCGAGGCCAATGCAAATTTCCGGAACCCCTCGATCAAGCACCAGGCACGGCTGCCGATGAAAATCATGACCTGAGCAAAGCATCAGCATTAGCTGCAGAGCATGAGGAGGCACATCACAAGCATGGAAGAGGAAGGGCAGAATCTTCGCTTTTAGCAAAATCCAACCACTAGTGACCGCCATGTGATGCTACCTGAGTTCTCAAGTTCTCAAAGAGAAATTCACTGACTTGACTTTGGCTCCTGGAGGACGGCTTTGCCATTGGCGCCAGTGCATCCTCGTCTGTGCGGGTGGGGATGGGCCCGGTCCTCACAGCCGCGCGTCTTAGGGTTTAGGGGTTTAGGATGGCTTAGGGTTTAGGGCTTGGTGAAGTGTGCCATTTAGTGTATATCATGTATATCCTTTCTGCACTTTTTAAGGCGTATCCCTCCAGAAAGTGCAGCTCAGGTGTGGCCGGTTCCAGGAATTCCCATCAACTTCCACGCCATGATCAATGCCGAAGCCAAAGCTATGGGCACTTTGAGCTTCAGCTCGGGCATGTTCTTGCTCCAAGAGGAGTCCCACCATGCGACAGGCACGGAGATGAATGCAAATTCAACGAGGTCCAATGAGATCGGAATGTGCGGCGCAGCAGTCCCTAGTCGACGAGTTAGCAGCACACCACCCCCACGAACCCCTTGGCCTCAGTCGGATTCAGCAGCTTTCATAGGGTTGTAGGTTTTTCTTGGCTGCTCGAGGCATTGAGCACCTATGCTGACGTAGACATCACAAGCTTCGCGCTTCCGTCCTCCTTCAGGGCCGCGATCTCTACTTCATTCTTGATGGAACAAATTACGGCCGCTGTCATTGCTGGTGCCACAGCAATGACTAGACTGGTCACAGGTGCAATGGCCTGCGTCCCAGGTGGGGATGCAGTCGAGAACACCATCATGTCGGCTGCCAACACTGCGGCCTCCGCAATCGCGGGCCTGATCCCAGATCTGGATCTTGACTTCTCAGTGGAGTCCATCCAGCTCATGGCCCCTCAGAAGCTCTGGTGCAAGGAGGTCTTCAAGACCCCCGGCTTCGACGCCGCTCCCTCAATCGTCCCAGAGTCATGCAGAAGCCCCGGCCCTGAATCCTGCAGCCAGGCTGCTCCATGCGCAGCAGAGATCGGTTGCAAGTTTGCCGGCAGACCACCGCCACGCGGCCAGTTCCAAGGAGCACACTATGGGGTCAAGAACTCGAAGAAACTCACAAGTCTTACAGCGGAGTGCCAACCCAGGTGGAGTTGAGATGGCGCCTCCAGAGCAGGCCGGACAAAACCCGGCAACAGAGCTCCCCCAGGTTCACGCAGGCTGCTTAGGTGTGTGCCAAAGGCCCTCTGATTGGATGCGGATCCCAACCCAGAGTGAGCATCTCGTGGGAACTGTGGGTGGTACTTAAGCCTTAAGTGCGGCATTGAGAAGTTTTGCCGAAGAACAGCTTTGTCGTATGGTGTTAAGGATTTTCAGATTTTCTGCCGCAGGTCATATTCTCCAAGCCGCTGCTTTCAACATTATTTGTCGTCGTGGTTTTGTCATCTTGGCCAGTTTTCGTGTTGTCATGGTCGTTGTGCTGTCGGTCTATATAGAAATATTTACAAACAGACCGCATATGAACAGCATGTAGACATGATTATGTGCATCATACCTACCTACGTAGATCTTTGTGTGCACATGTAGGTTTATACTTATAGACATATAGGGGTATACATGCATGTACACACAAGAGCAAGGACGTGTGTCATTCACTTGCGATCCGGGCTTGCCTTCGGGGGGCATCGCTGCTGTCGCCGAAGCACCGCCTGCATGCTTCAGGAACTGCTCAAATTATTGAAGCCTCGCCAATGATCACCCACGACTGTCAGAACGATTACAGACAGCCGCGATGGCGACAAGTGCAACAACTACTCGCACAAGCGCTTTTTCATCTTGTTGGAATGCTTAAGGTTGTGCATCCTTCATGGACGCTTTGTGACACTAAGACTGTCTTCTAAGTATCACGCCAGTCCGAGTTTGGACAACATACTGTGAGTAGTGAGCTTGAGCGAGAGCCTGGTGGTGCTGTGAAGTTTCGCACGGCGTACGCATTTGTCTACGCTTGTTTCTGCACCACACAAGATTCGCCACCGCGTTCTCACCCTATTCTCTTCGCGCAGAAGCGATGTTGTCTGAATGCGAAGCATCGATTCAAGAGATGTTGATGGTGCCTTGGCTGAGTTTGAAGGGTTGCCGCCGAAAACCAAGTCAAGAAGCCTACATCCCCAACAGCATAAAGCCCATGCAAGACGTTCGAAAGCTGATCCGTTGGCGGCATTTGGTAACTGGTACTCGACCGCATCCTCTGGGAATTCTGCGTGCGCAGAAGCATGACTGCTGAGCACGGAGCGCATCGAAGTAATAGGGCTTCGTGCGCCAGTATACACCCACATACACTGTGCTCGCAGAAGTATTTCCTGGAATCGCGAACCGTTCACTGTCACAGTGGCGGCTAAGCAAGTAGTAACCCTGTACTTTGGTTTTATGATACATAATCGGTCCCCCAAGCAGGTCACAAACCATGTCGAAACGACTGGGGCGGCAGCAGCCTGCCATGATATTCCGATGGGCGATCGGTTCATTCAGATTGGGCGCTTTCGCTTGGCGGACATTGATGGCAACCACTTCTCGATCTCGCACGAGGAATGCCTCCGACTTGGAGTGCATAGGCATAGGCCAAAGAACAACAGCTTTCACGCGACTCCACTTCTTCTATTACTGCTTCTCCTGTTACTACTACTACTACGACCTGCGACTACGACTACGACTACGACGACTACTACTACCAATACTACTATGTGTGTGACAGAAACTAACAACAACTACTACTGCTACTACTTCTGCTATTACTTGACAGAGAGGTTTCTGCTCTGAGAGGATGGCCAGACGGCGCAGATCTTCAGGAACGACGGCACCTTGCACGGCGGGCCGAGGACCGACTATAGCTCCTGGACGAGGTAAGGGGCGGAAAAAATTGGTCTCTTCCTACTTTCCCTTGACCCAACTCATAGGGTCTATTGTATGGTCCGTTGTAGTCCTTACCGTATGCTGTATAGCTAAGACTACATAGCAGATTTTCTCCCGTAGCTCCCTTCTCTGATCTCTGTCTTGTTGCGACGGATCATGCTTGCTAAGGGAGATTGGAGCCTCAAAAGGCATCCATTTTGGTTTCCAATACATCCAGATTGGGAACTTCCGTCTGGGTGCTTACGACGACACGCATTTGTCGATTTCGCTTGGCCCTCAGCTCCGAGCCCCGGTATACTATAATACAGCATAGACAGTAGACTGCTCTCGGCATTTGTTCGCTGTTCATTCTGCCACGTCGGCTCTCGGTCTTGCTCTTTTTCAAGCGCATGGCCCACGCATACAAGACACACAACCTGATTACACCCAAACCGCCCAGGCATCACCGATGCCCCCACCACCACCTCTTCACAACTTTGAAGGCACATGTCGGGCCGGCACTGAGAGACCCAAGCTTGTTGAGGGAGACGACTTGAAGTCGTTAATTAGGGTGCATGGTCGTCCAGTGCGCATGCCCTCATGTCAAGAGAAAACTGCTCATGACTGCATGCAATCGGAACATGACATGCAACATCACTGCGGACAACAACATCATGCAGACTCTTTGACCACCAGCTACGGACTCAGCCATCCAGGTGCGTCTTTGCAGGTACGTTTACCTGTTCTAATCCACGGAGCTTCATTAGCAGAGGCCGTGAAATTAGAACCTTCTGCCCCCTGCACATGTACGGTCAAAATATGGACCAGGACTGCAAGATTTGTCGCATGTACAGCAGAATCACACTCTGAGACACGCACCACGCGCACACACACACACACCACAGGACCCTCACCGCCAACGCTCCAGTGTGCAAGAGATTGAAATTCGCTTCTCGCATCGCATCTGGCAGGGAAACTTAGGGCGACCCAATGCCCTAGCAAGCGAACTTGGAGAGCAAAAAGCAAAAATGTCAAGAGTAGGCAACTTTGGGCCGTAAACCCAAGCCGATACCGTATACTTGTGGAATAAGACAAGCTCCAGCGTAGGACATGGCATTTTCAGTGTCAGAAGGTCACTCTTGTGGAGCCTGGCTCGAGGCATATTGATGGCAAGACTGCCCAAGTGTTCCGAAGCGACGGTACATTGCATCCCGGGCCCCGGGACGACTTTTGGCAGAATTTAAGGGTCCTATTTAATCTAGTTTTGGTTCCGGTGCATCTACTGCGCTTAGTGTGGCTTAGGTTCATCCCCGCAGTAGGGCCCGGCTCGACCAAGGACTTTTCAACTTTCGACCGTGCAGAAGGCGTGCCAGCCGGCATCAGTTTCGGGGACAGGCGTCCGGCTTCGATCCACGCTCCTTGGGATCAGACTCTTTCGCTGTGCCAGCTGGTCAGGTTCATTCAGTTCGGCAAGTTCCGGATTGGAGCTTCCGACGACAACAATCTGGTCGTGACCCACGCAGAGACCCATGTGATTCAGCTTTACCGCCACGACGGTACAAGGTGAGGGCTGCTTTTGTTTGCCTGGACTTGGCTGTTTGGCTGGGAGGGGGGGGAGGAGGCGAAGTGACCCGAGTCAAGCAGGGGCAGGAGAAGGGTCTCCCGGAAAGCCAAACGGCATGCCGTGGAGTCAAGCAGAGAATTGGGATTCGGGGCATGATGGGTGCATTGATCTGAACTTGAGCTCCTAGCTTGGCATTCTTGGCATACCTCGACATCTTGCCAGGCATAAGAACCTCCTCCAGATCAAGCCAAAAATGCGTCGGAAAGGGAAGATTGGCAAGACACTTCGCAGAGCTCTCTCTGTGAACAACTTGGGCCAGAAGGTGAGACGGGTGACTTGAAATTTGTGCTTTAGCTGTCGACGCGCAGCGACAAGCAGACATGGGCTGAGCATGCTTAGATGCCGGTTTCTGGACTGTTTCCGTTGCAACAGGTGAACGAGAGGAGCCCTGCTGCGTGGACATGCAAGGACATTGCCGAGATGGCCTTCGGGGCCGTGTTCTCAAAAAACCTTTGAAGGATTTCCTGCTGTTGATTGGTTTCGTTGCTGTGGTAGCCGGAGCAGTTTGACACAGGTTTGCGATCCAGATTTTGGAGCTTGGGGAGATCGCTTTATCCAGCTTGGCGAGTGGCGGCTGGCGGCGATCGACGACACTCATTTCTCCATTTCGCACAAAGACGGCAAGACTGCCCAAATCTATCGCAGCGATGGCTCCTTGCATCCTGGACCACGTACGGATTTCGGGGCCTGGCACAGAGCGCTCGGCTTTCCCTTTGGCATCACCTTTGGGCCCGGCTTCATCCAGATCGGCAAGTTCCGACTGGGAGCAGCCAATGACGAGCACTTCTCCATCTCCCACCGCGATGGCAACACCATACAGATCTTCCGCGATGTCGCTCAAAGTGCAGTTACACGTACAGTCTCTGTTCCATGTCTTCCCATTCTGGTAGTGAGGGTATTCCGAGGGGTATCCCGAATGCGACTGAGGACGGAACCCGCCACACTGGACCGAGGCAAGATTGGAGCTTGTGGGGAATTACTGCTGGACCAGCATCTGGCGTCACATTCGGGGACAGGTGGGCCTCTTACTCATGTCTTGCAGGTTTCGCTTTTCAAGCACGGGGCGTGCCGTCAATGCCACCTTAGTAGGGCATAGCGGCGTAAGCTCGGCTCTGCCTTGGCAAGGCCACCATCCTAGACACGAGCGGGGCGGGGCGGGTTTGAAGAAGGAGCTGTTTTGCAACTGAGCCGTTGTGCCGCAGGATTGTAATTGCTGAAGCATGAGCATGCGCCAGCAAAAGCAGCTGTGAAATGCGGCAGCAGAGCCACAGGATGCAAGTCCTAGAAGGTCCCGGCATGCCACTTCCCATACAGGCTGCGAAGTGATACTGGCCTGCAAGCCGAACACAGAAGACCCCCTCCCTTTGTGAAAAAGCCTGACGGACTTCTTCCACCGCCAGTACGCACAACTCTCAAGAAAAGCTCCTTCAGGTTCCTGCAGCTTGGGAAGTTCCGGATCGGAGATGTGGATGGCAGGCGTCTTTCTTACTCGAATGCTTAGAGTCCTTTCACATTCGTAGTAGCCAGATGCAGCCATAATCTTGATCGGAGGCACTTCGTGGTCACCCACCTCAAGACCGGAAATCTGCTTCAGCTCTACAAAGACGACGGCACGCTTGACCCGCATGCCTCGGCGTCTTGGGCCGGGAAGCTTAACAATCGCTATGCCCAGTTCCACTGTGGCGGCATCCAGACAATTCTTGGCACCTGCCCCTCGACGGAGGAATAGCAAAGATTAGTCTGAACAGCCCTCTGATTGAAATTGCCATATGGCAGTGAGGTCCCGGCATCACAACGGGAGACCGATTCATGCAGTTGGGCGATTGGCGCCTTGCTGCCATGGACAGCAACCACTTCAGCATCTCGCATCGCAACCATGAAACAGCCATGATTTACAAATCCGATGGGACACGTCACGCAGGGCCGCGCCAGGACTGGGGTGGTTGGGACCGTGAGGCAAAGAAAGTCACAACGCCTGGTGTCTCCCTGCTGCAGTGGATTGGAAGACGGCGGCGGCTGCCCAAAGTTAACTTTCCTCAACCCCGACATGAAAGGATCAAGTTTGGAGATCGCTTCATTCAATTCGGCGAGTTCCGAATTGGTGAAGCAGATGAGTCCCATTTCTCCATTTCACACAAGGGAGCCAACAACGCGGACGCCCAAACCATTCAGATCTTCCGTTCTGATGGCACCTTGCACCCTGGTCCTCGCACGGACTTTGGCTTATGGGATCGTGATACGGGTGCAGCCCAGGGAGTTACGTTTGGAGATCGCTTTGTGCAGATCGGCAACTTCCGAATTGGAGACGTGGACTCCAGTCATTTATCAGTGTCACATGTGCAGGGGCAGACCATCCAAATCCTCCGGTCAGACGGGACGACGCATTCGGGCCCCCGCACAGATTGGACGACATTCGGGCGTCAGCTCGTGGATTGCACGGTCGAGTAAGGCTGAATCTCGAGCACCAAGCTCAAGATCATGGGTGAAGCTGCTAAGCTAAGATGCATGCCACTGCTGGCAACAAAGTGGCCCATCCTCGGCATGCAGCATGCGTCCTGGAAAAAAGGCATGGATTCCTACGGTGCGAGAGATAAGAGAGAGAATTTAAAGGGCATCACTGGCTGCGGTCTTGCTTGGATTCAGTAAGCTGCTTTGATATGAGGGCTGCGGATCGGTGCAGGGGGAATGGCGGGAATGCTGTTTCGATGGCCTTCCATCTGCCTGAGGAGGCCACGGGTTTTGTCGAGATTGCATGAAGCGAAGGGTTAAAGCACGCATGGGCGGGATTGAATCTAAGAAGCAGCGCCTGGGAAATTTTCTCTTGCATCTATTTTCAGAAGCGCTGGATGGCTGGAGCAGCAAACACGAGCCTGTATTTTTTGGCGCGGTTACAAGGCAAATTGCAAACCTTTGATTGTTTGTTGGCCAACCCTGATTTTCCGAAACAGAGAAATTCCTACTGAATTTTCATAATTTTTAGTAGAATGCACTATTTGGCAGGAAATCAAGAGGTTCAGATTGTTCATATGTTCTGAATGAAGTTTCTGTAAAATTTTAATTGCGTTTTGAATACAAAGTCGTGTTGGTTGTAATCTGAAATTTGTAGGAATTTAGTAAAAATTTATTGTATTCGAAACAAGCAATTAGGTTTCTAAATTGAGTATGGGATGTTGTGGTCGCATCAGTTATTCGGTTAGTTTATTATTCTTCGATATTAATATTGTTTTAATGATTATTAGATCTAAGGGGATGCGGTGATGATTTTTTCCCGAATGCTTCGTAGTAGGGTTCCCGTTTAAAAGGTTGGGGTCTAGGGGTCTAGCCGTTGACCAGCGAGCGTGGTTAAAGTGTCCGCGAAGCGT